AACAAACAAACACACACACACACACACACACACACAAGCAGGGCCTGAAAGTATTTTTAATCTTTCATCTTTCAAATGCAAATCTATACCTTTCAGAAACTGATAATTACCTCCCTCGTATTATATGAGTTTTTGTGTCCCCCATTCATTTTATAAGAGGTTTGCATTTTTCTATATAATTATTTCAAATAGTTCAATATTTGTAAGTATAGTTAAAATATTGGTAAACATTCAAATGGCTTGTACTCATTTAAAAATGTATATTTTCTTTAACTAAATAAATAAAGAAAGAAAGAATATTCATTTACACGTTTGTGCCATCAAATTGTTGTATAAACGCAATATCACACTCGTTAGCCATCGCACTATATCAGCACGGCTGTGATTTTACATAGATTTACACTTTCTAGATAAACATTACTACATGTGTATATCAGAATGTGACACTGTTTAATTTGTGTGTGTGTGTGTGTGTCGTCAGAGCCAGGAGAGCAGTGTTACGGTGACTCAGGCGCTCTGTACCGCGGTGTGGTGAACATCACGGTCTCAGGCTCGTCTTGTCTGCCGTGGAACTCAGATCTGCTGTTCACGGAGCTGACGGTGGAAACGGTGCACAGCGCCGCCCGCAGGGGCCTCGGGGAACACGCCTTCTGCAGGTCACGCTCTTACTGTAACGCAGGGCTCTTACTTCTCTAAGCAATCAGACATACCATTTCCACTCAATAAAACAGGTGAAAACATCCCATAGATGCATCTAGAGAGCAGAAGATCACACGCAACAACCCGTGTTAGTTTAGTCTTTCCTAATATTTTGAATTAGTTTTTATTTTTAGAGGTAACACTTTATTTTAAGGTGTCCTTGTTACACGTTACATGTACTTACTATTATAATAACAACTAATTATGCATAATTGCATGCAAGTAAGCCTAAGCCAAACCCTAACCATATAGTAAGTACATGTAGTTCATTAATATTACTCAGTACTTAAACTGTAACAATGACAACTTAAAATAAAGTGTAACCTTTTTAAGTGTAGTTAAAGGTTAAGTAATTTTGTTATATTTATATCCATTTCAGTTTAATTGTAGTTTTATTAAATGAAAATAAGAAATAAGTAAAATAGCTGAATAAATAAATCATGTCTGTTTTGCTAGAGAAAGTCACACTTTCTCACAAAATATGTGCATTTCAGAGTATTTTTGCTTTGTAATGTGAAGAAGTCCTGCATTCTCCCTCAAACAGCAGAAAAGCACCACAAACACTTGATTCCTGTCTGAATATGAGCAGAAATATGAGTATTTGTTCACTTCTCATCCCATTTTCACATGTATGAATGATTCTGAAGACATTAGAATCCTGATTTCCACTCTTTTGCAGATTGTAAGTTTATTTCGACATTTTGAAGACTTCTTTTTGTCATTAAAACCAAAACTTTTACTATTCAGCTACTTTATTTTGATAAATGCAGAGGTTGATTGATTCTAATGTCTTCAGAATCATTCATACATGTGAAAATGGGCTGAGAAGTGAACAAATTGTACTCGGTTACAAACGTAACCTCGGTTCCCTGAGATACGGGAACGAGTACTGCGTCAGCTAGACGCTATGGGAAAAAGTCCTTTTTTCTCCTGAACTGAAGCCTTTTTCAATCACGCCAAGATAATTCTTATCCTAAGCACCTCAGGGCCCAAGAAACAAGAACAATAAATTCCTCCAGGCTGAACATGCTAGCCTCGTGAAGGCATATTACATCCAAACTGCACTCAGAGCGAACTGTGCACCATCTAAGCAGAAAGAACCCTAGCCTGCAAGGCAGGGACATCCAGGTTATAGAACCTAGCAAAAGTGGACGGCGAGGCCCAGCCGGCAGCCGCACAAATTTCTGCAATGGTCACGGGGCTAAACCACGGCCACGAAGAGGCAATGCCTCTAGTTGAGTCGGCTCGTACTCCAACTGGGCATTGCAGGCCCAGGGAAGTGTAGGCTAGCAAATTAGCGCTGATTATCCACTTAGAAAGTCTCTGCTTCGTGACTGGGTGTCCTTTAGCGCGGCCACCGAAGCAAACAAAGAGTTGTTCCGACTGCCTAAATTGGGCGGAACGCTCGATGTAGACCTTCAGAGCCCTAATTGGGCAGAATAAATTCAACTCCTGGTCCTCCTGGCTTTGGAGAGGACACGGAGTAATTTGGTGTCCGTCCCGGGTTTAGCGTCGCTGGGCTCGGTTGGCGGCAGGGGGGCGGGGTCAGCAATCGAGCCTGACAGCTCCTCCGCGTCCGAGGCTGCAAATGACAGGCTGTCATCCAGCAGCTCTCCGTCACTCCCACCAAACGAGACCAGATCACTAGCACTGGCAGAGGGATGCTGGTCTGTCTGGGTGAAGAGGACGGGGGAAGCCTCTCTATGTGGAGAGAGCGAGCTACGCGGGACCTGAGCCGACGTAAGCTCGCTCGCATCCGAGCGCTGAGATCCTCTGCCCCGCTGTTTTTTCATCACAGGTTCCTGGGAGGAAGAAAACGGGAGGGCACGAGGGGCGGGTTCGCTTGCAGTAAAGGAAGCTATCCACGAGCGCAGAGAGGCGAGACTCATGCTCTCACAGTGGGAGCATCACACGCAACAACCCGTGTTAGTTTAGTCTTTCCTAATATTTTGAATTAGTTTTTATTTTTAGAGGTAACACTTTATTTTAAGGTGTCCTTGTTACACGTTACATGTACTTACTATTATAATAACAACTAATTATGCATAATTGCATGCAAGTAAGCCTAAGCCAAACCCTAACCATATAGTAAGTACATGTAGTTCATTAATATTACTCAGTACTTAAACTGTAACAATGACAACTTAAAATAAAGTGTAACCTTTTTAAGTGTAGTTAAAGGTTAAGTAATTTTGTTATATTTATATCCATTTCAGTTTAATTGTAGTTTTATTAAATGAAAATAAGAAATAAGTAAAATAGCTGAATAAATAAATCATGTCTGTTTTGCTAGAGAAAGTCACACTTTCTCACAAAATATGTGCATTTCAGAGTATTTTTGCTTTGTAATGTGAAGAAGTCCTGCATTCTCCCTCAAACAGCAGAAAAGCACCACAAACACTTGATTCCTGTCTGAATATGAGCAGAAATATGAGTATTTGTTCACTTCTCATCCCATTTTCACATGTATGAATGATTCTGAAGACATTAGAATCCTGATTTCCACTCTTTTGCAGATTGTAAGTTTATTTCGACATTTTGAAGACTTCTTTTTGTCATTAAAACCAAAACTTTTACTATTCAGCTACTTTATTTTGATAAATGCAGAGGTTGATTGATTCTAATGTCTTCAGAATCATTCATACATGTGAAAATGGGCTGAGAAGTGAACAAATTGTACTCGGTTACAAACGTAACCTCGGTTCCCTGAGATACGGGAACGAGTACTGCGTCAGCTAGACGCTATGGGAAAAAGTCCTTTTTTCTCCTGAACTGAAGCCTTTTTCAATCACGCCAAGATAATTCTTATCCTAAGCACCTCAGGGCCCAAGAAACAAGAACAATAAATTCCTCCAGGCTGAACATGCTAGCCTCGTGAAGGCATATTACATCCAAACTGCACTCAGAGCGAACTGTGCACCATCTAAGCAGAAAGAACCCTAGCCTGCAAGGCAGGGACATCCAGGTTATAGAACCTAGCAAAAGTGGACGGCGAGGCCCAGCCGGCAGCCGCACAAATTTCTGCAATGGTCACGGGGCTAAACCACGGCCACGAAGAGGCAATGCCTCTAGTTGAGTCGGCTCGTACTCCAACTGGGCATTGCAGGCCCAGGGAAGTGTAGGCTAGCAAATTAGCGCTGATTATCCACTTAGAAAGTCTCTGCTTCGTGACCGGGTGTCCTTTAGCGCGGCCACCGAAGCAAACAAAGAGTTGTTCCGACTGCCTAAATTGGGCGGAACGCTCGATGTAGACCTTCAGAGCCCTAATTGGGCAGAATAAATTCAACTCCTGGTCCTCCTGGCTTTGGAGAGGACACGGAGTAATTTGGTGTCCGTCCCGGGTTTAGCGTCGCTGGGCTCGGTTGGCGGCAGGGGGGCGGGGTCAGCAATCGAGCCTGACAGCTCCTCCGCGTCCGAGGCTGCAAATGACAGGCTGTCATCCAGCAGCTCTCCGTCACTCCCACCAAACGAGACCAGATCACTAGCACTGGCAGAGGGATGCTGGTCTGTCTGGGTGAAGAGGACGGGGGAAGCCTCTCTATGTGGAGAGAGCGAGCTACGCGGGACCTGAGCCGACGTAAGCTCGCTCGCATCCGAGCGCTGAGATCCTCTGCCCCGCTGTTTTTTCATCACAGGTTCCTGGGAGGAAGAAAACGGGAGGGCACGAGGGGCGGGTTCGCTTGCAGTAAAGGAAGCTATCCACGAGCGCAGAGAGGCGAGACTCATGCTCTCACAGTGGGAGCAATTCGTCTCGGTGAGCGCGGATTCCGCGTGGGATTTCCCCAAGCAGAAAACGCACTCACGATGGCCGCCATCGGCGTGCAAGGAGGCCCTGCATGTACCGCAGTAACGGCGCGGCATTTGTAACAATGCCGAGAAATTTGCTGTTTAGAAATTTGCTCTTCTATCTCGCTGGATGGCGGCAGGGGACCCGGACTGCTGCTGCTCGTGCTGAAGGCGGCGAAGGTGCTGGATCAGCCGGGCAGAGTCGTTCCGCTGCAAGACGTGTCAACGGAGAGCAGGCTCTTCAGTCAGCGGAGATGAGAAGAACGTCGTCGCCGCTGAAGGATGAAGAAATCTGAATCCTATGGCGAAGCAGCCGCTTATATATCCAGATGACTCCGACCATTCTGGCGGGCTTTGGCGGGCTTCGCTGCCATAGGTTTGTTTTTAAAACACACTACACGAACCAATGGCCGTGCAGTTTCACTGCATGATTGAAAAAGGCTTCAGTTCTGGAGAAAAAATGACTTTTTCCCATAGCATCTAGCAGACGCAGTACGAGTGTAGTATCGAAAGGGAAACTCATATTTCCGCTCAGATTCAGACAAGAATCATGTGTTTGTGGTGCTTTTCTGCTGTTTGAGGGAGAATGCAGGACTTCTTCACATTACAAAGCAAAAATGCTCTGAAATGCACATATTTTGTGAGAAAACGTGACTTTCTCTAGCAAAACAGACATCAATCAGAAACATGTACCGGATTGAACTGAGCAGATCTGCTGTTTAATATCAGTATTATATGTGACTGTGATCTTGTGCTGTCTGAGATGTTTCCTTGATTTGGCAGGAATCCTGATCAAGATAAGCTGCCGTGGTGTTACACGATGACGGAGCGAGCCGTTTCGTGGGAGTACTGCGACATCAAGCCCTGCTCCAAACCAGATCCTGAGCTTCTCATGACTCACAACAGCAGTAAGCAAGAATCAAAGATAACCTTTCCTAAAAACTTCTCTAGAAATCCCACGGACTTTCTCAGGTGTGGGAAGGGAAAATCTCACCCAGCGTCGCCTGAAGCGCTAGATTTTATTGGTTATTAGTGTTTGTGAACATGAGCCTGGAGCGCCATGAGTATGTTATGCAGTTCTTTTATTAACGGTGTTCAGAGACGCTCATGATCCGCGACAGACGTGTTCAAGCAGGCTGTTCTCACCGTCACTCTTTATACATCTAGTGTACATAAACGTAAAATTAATATATTTAATTCAACAAACTTGCATTAAATTGATCAAAAGTGACAGTAAAGACATTTATAATGTTGCAGAAGATTTCTGTTTCAAATAAATGCTGTTCTTTTGAACTTTCCATTCATCTGTGAATCCTGAAAAATAACATGAATCACAGTTTCCACAAAAATATGAACTGTTTTCAACATTGATAATAATCAGAAATGTTTCTTGAGCAGCAAATCAGCATATTAGAATGATTTGTGGAGAGAAGACTGGAGTAATAATGCTGAAAATTAAATTTACAAATCACATTTTACTACATATTCACATAGAATAATATTTGTAATAATATTTCACAATTCTTGCTGCATTTTTGATCAAATAAATGCAATCAACGTCTCTTAACTCTAGTGTTAGCAATAACAAATACTAAAGCACAGGAGTTTTCCTATAGCTTTGTTATCATACTTTATTTATTGACTTTTTATTTTAAACATGTATTTATTTATTTAATATCCATTCATTCAGTACTTATGTATTTTAATTATGTTTTGTGTATTTATTTTGATCTAATTATTTAATTTATTTTATTTAATCTAATGTTTATTTATTTATTTATTATTTTTGTTTATTTGTTTTAATTATTTAATTACATTTTATTTATATTGATCAAATCTATTTTTTATTTATTTATTTACTGAGGGTCCCCAGATCTTTTAAACCCCCTACTATAATGAACACCAATATTTACTGTCCTGGTCCATTTACTTTAGGAAAACTGGTAAATGAACAGTGACACATATGAATTATTTCATTGTTATTTAGTTTTTGTTATTGCAGTTTTTTTTTAGTTATTGCATACAGCTAAAACAACTGTACTATACATTTTGTGCATTTGTTTTAAGCGATAGAATATTCAGTATCCTACAGTCACGTGTATTCAGATTATTTTCATTAAACACAGTCTCTGTTGTTTCTGTCAGCGGGCCGCAGAGGTTCCATCGTCGCCGTGGCCCCGGGGCCCTCCCGCAGACCCGTCAGGACCCCGGCGTGTGGGAAGCGGCAGGAGAAACGGATCAGTCGGGGTCGAATCCTGGGCGGGACGTCTGCATTGCCCGGCGCTCACCCCTGGATGGCAGCGCTGTACATCGCAGACGAGTTTTGTGCAGGAACGCTGGTCTCCTCCTGCTGGATCGTGTCGGCCGCTCACTGCTTCCTGCGCAAGTATGTGTCTGTGTGTGCACTTTATGCATTTCTGTGGAGTTCTAGCTTCATTCTAACTCCATACACACTCTCTCTCTCTCAGTCCACTAAAGTCACAGATCCGGGTCGTCCTCGGCCAGCACTCCTTTAACGACACCGGTCCCAACACCAGGACCTTTGCTGTTCAGGATTATATTTTAAACCCGCGTTACACACAGTTTGAACCGACCTTAAACGATATCGGTGAGTTTGGACTCTAAATACAGAAACTTTACCATCATTATTCACTTACAAACTTGCATATCAGTGCGTGTGTGTTTACAGCTAGTGCGTTAAACTAAAAACAGGGCTTTTCTATTATACATATATATATATACAGTATATATATGCATACACACACTTGTAGTTTTTGTTCATTTTTTTGTTTTTCATTTTTTGTCGTTTTGATTAGTTTTTGTTTTCTAATGTCAATATAGTATTTATTTATATTATCAATTAGTTTTAGTTTATCTACTTTTAGTTATCTTAGTACTTCAACTTCAACTGAATGAGAATGAAAATGTTTTAATATATTTT